TCGGCCTGCTGGAAGAGCAGCAAGTCTGCTGATGGAATTTGGCGGAAAAGGTTGTGGGTCCAGGCAGGGGCTTCTGACATAATAAACCTAAAGGCAATGAGCGCCTCCCATTGGTGGCTTGAGTGAAAAAAATATGATTTTCAAAGTGAGTTTGAAACCAAAGGGAAATGACATTTGACAGCAGATGAGAAACTGCATCCAGGGTGTTTGAGCGGGAGAAACAGCTGCAAGGCAGACTCGATTTACAATGAGTTTCTATGGGGGAGGGAGGTGAGCTGAGTCTCCTGAACAAATCTGCCGTCTCTGGTATCAGGTTCAAATGTGCGGGAAAATCCTGCCTATTTCTGCAAATCATCCAAATAATCTCATCTGACAGTCTCGGTGGTGAGTTATTTTGCAACTATGTTTGTGTAGGTCTACATAAAATGTGGGCGTAGCACTGACCAATTAAAAAAATAGAACAAAACTCAAGGATCAACCTGATGATTTGGGGGTGCAATATGCTACAAAGATATAAAGGAGATTCATTTACTACCTTAAAGTCAAAACAGCCATTTCACAGACACACCCATCACCAGATGGGAGCCTCATAGAACCACTAGATGGCAGTAGATAACATGATTTAGGGCAGTGAGTGATTTGCTGCTTGGTGCTGGACCTTCAGCACAAGATAAATAATTCAGTTGAAAGCAGTGATAAAGAAACAAGACTTTTCGAAACTAATGGAGAAGTGGTGACTAGTAAAGATTTCGTTTTTCCTTCTCAGACAAACCAGCAAAATAAAAAAGAAAAGACGAACAATCTCTAAAGAGAATAATGACTTTATACAGACAGAAAAGTAGGATCAATAGCCCCACTGGTTTGTATTGACCACACCAATCAATATAAATGGCCTGTTTTTACCACAAGTGTAAGAATAATGACTTGTTCTAGCCCTCTGGCAGATTGGAAGCTGGTATAATGTGACTGTGAAAAACTGAAAGTGGAAGGAGATTAAAGATCCCCCAAAGTGGAGATGAAAGATTGAATTGGAAAAAAAGACACCAAGGAAAAATGGATCAGAGTTTTTTCAGCATGCAGTTTTAATAAGGAGCGGCGATGCAGGGTGGGACCTTGAACTGTCTGCAACGGCAGTGTTAACAAAGCAGTGCGCACTGAACTTTGACCGAGCCTTGAGAGGTTCAGTGACATATGTGAAAAAGCCAAAGTGTGATCAGTAAAGTCAAAAGTGAAAGAACAGTTGTGAGTCTGTGATGATGAGTGGGATCCTGGTCTTACATGACTGCCAGTCTCATCTGTTCTCCAATCAGCAGGGCCAGAAGAATTACCTCTTTATAAATACAGCTCTCCATAGGTTCCTTCCTCCATCCAGGGGCGGGGTTTTGATTATAGGCACAAATCTTCAAAAGGGCTTTAGTTTTTCAGACACCCCTACAAAACAAGAACAAAACATGCCTATGTTTCTTTTCATAATTTTGAAGATGATGGTCATAACAAAAACATTCTACACAGCAAAGTACAGCAAAAAGTGATAAAACGAATCAACATAAAAAAATATATATTTATTGTAAAAGTAGAGCCTAAATACTTGTAAATGAAAAGTTTACGTAACACGTTTGAAATGTTGAAAAGGTTCAGGTCCCGTTCAAATCCCGCTATATGGGAAAACTTCGCCCCCTGCTGTTGTAAAATTTGTACCTGCACATGTGTTCACCTGCATTGAGAACATAGAGAAGTAACAGCAAAGACTTATGGGTAATCCTCAAGGCAACGGCGTATTTGGCACAAGGTAATGTACCTGCGACTGTGCGTGAGCAAAATAATAACTCATTTGAAAAGCACAATTTTTATTTGGTTGGATGGTTTTGGTTTGGTTGGGTTAACCATTCGTTTTTACGTGTTTATTTATGTATTTAGCCTGAAGTGCTGGATCCTGTATCATCTATCCATACATCCTGCCCGATTGGTAGGCTACTGCGCAAGTGCAAAGGTGTACGACACACCTGTGGTTAAACGCATTTCCCCCCTGATAATGCTACAACGTTAACAACAAATCTGTGTTGAAATTGGCCACCGAGATTGAGTATTTGGTGGAAGTAAATTATAATGTTAAAATGTGTTTAAATCTAGTCGTAGTTTTTGTGCACAAACTGAATAAATAGATTTGTTTGAATGAGATGTTTCACAGCAATATAAAATGGATATTGGAGAGGGAATTGTTTTTTTCAGAAAAAAATGGTATCTGAAGCTGTGATGTTGGAGCGTTACAGCAAACCGCCTTATACATAAAGGCTCAGGTGTGATTGGCCTGACAGAACGTTTTGGTTAGGCTTGAATGGATGGCAGCTGTTCTCAATTAGAAAGCATTTGTTTATGGTCTTTAACTAAAGATCATTTTAGTAATTACAGAATTGTATTTTCCACCCATAAAGTCAGCTGCTTTTGAAACCTTCCCGGCGGACGCCTTAGTGAAACGATTCAATCAGGCCCATGTTCTATGAGATTGTGCGCCATTTAACTAAGTTGCATAATAGTTATTATAAAATTACAAATAACAATACCAAAAAAAGCAAGAGTCCTGTGTGAAAAATCTGTATACATATATTTTTGCTATAATTTATGCTATTTAAGGCACAGTTTCTGTTTCTTTATTTACGTACATTGTATTTACATGCATCTAAACTATACAATCACCGTGTCAATATACTGTACAGAGTACAGCTTTTCAAAATGGTAAACATACTGTAATCCTCAAAACAACAGAGGGTTTGCCACTAGACCACATGTGCCGTTTGGCCACAAGAGATGACCATTCAACGCCATCTCTCATCTCCCAGTTGACCATCCTCGATTCCTTTCCTCGCCTCCTCTCCTGGCGTCTTAGTCTTGACCACGGGAGATGTGAGCGGAGGAGGAGGTGATGATGATAATAATAATAATAATAATAAAGGTTATTTATATAAAATCTATCAAAACAAGCAGCAATTACAAAGTGCTTTACAAGGCAGACATATAAAGGATAGACTACAATACCAGATACACACACGTATTTCCACATCTACATTTGCAAAGAAATATAAAAGTATGTGAATGTCTTGTCATTGTCGCACAAGGCACATTGTGATTACATAATCAGATTATTAATGTCTACCTGTCTAACATATCTACCTGTGTTTGTGTTATACAATCTACCTTGTCCTTCCTGAAAGTGGTGAATTAAAGGCTGGCATTGGAGCATGAGAGACTTTATCTTTTTGGTAAATGTTGGTGTAAACCACATATCTCTGTATTTTGTCCAGACTTCTGGATGAGCAGAAGGACTTGAAGGAGACAAAGAAGTAGAGCGAATTGAACAAACATTTGGTAGCTATCAAATCAACTAGTAGGATAAGTTGTTGGAGTTGAATTAGTTTTAGTTGTAATAGTTGTAGTTGTGGTAAAAGTAGCAATTATAGCAGAAGTAGTTGCTGTACTAACCTAGCAATAATAGTTGTAGTATTAAAAAATATACTATTGTATCGTGTATTTTTTTTTACATACTATATTACTTTTTTCAACATACTATTATGACTATTTAAAAAATATTTCGACATTTTATATTATTACTTTCTTCGACATGCTATACTGTTACTTTTCCCAACATGCTAGAATATATTTTACATGCTTTTCAACATTCTATATACTATGACTGTTCCATGCCTTTCTTTGACACACTCTACTTGGTTTATTTTTTTTTTTACATACGACTGTTTTCATGAGTTAAAGGTGATTAAATTAGCAAACTTAATATGGATTGTATCTGAAGACATTACGCAATTTTCGCTGTTGGAAAAAAAAAAAAAACGTCTTTTGTCCAACGTCTTCTGTAGTTTGGACATTATTAATGCAAAGGATCTGTTGAGCTGCTGCTTAGCTGTTTGAACGACAGCATGAAAATAGAGGGGAGGGAGTTTGAAGGGTATTTACGTACATGTTGACTCTTTTCTCTCTCTCACTCACACACACACACACACACACACACACACACACACACACACACACACACACACACACACACACACACGTCATCACAGCATTCTCAGCTTGTATAGCTAATACTTAAAGAGACACATACAACTAGGCCTAAATTGCTTCCTTCCTTCCTCTTCTGGGAGAGCCAAAGCAAAGTGACAGGAAGCAGTGATGGCAGTCTAGGAATTCCTTTGTTAATGCTGCTGATTGAGTAGCACTTATGCCACATTCCCTTCTGATGCTCTGAGACCAAGCTGCATTAAATACGAAGACGTAAAGATGTTCAGGATTTCTTTTATTGAAAAATATAGGTTATTTTGGATAATACAGAACAAAGTAACAGTAAAGAAGTAAGGCATAATACACAACATTATACAGAAAGGGCAACAATGATAACTTCCCAGTCGCACACACCTTTAACCATAGAAATCACCTGAATACATTATGTAGTGTTTGAGTGATTGGAAATATAAATATCCAGTTATGCACATTTTTTTTTTTTTACAACACATCTTTATTTTTATTTAACCTACAAGTTGAAACGCCGCCTTAAACTTAACTTCAGAAGTGATAATCATACAGAGAAGGAACAGATTTGACAGGCTCTCCCAAATTTGAGCGTCACAATGTAGAATTATTTTTTGCTAGAAATCTAAGATTTGGCACATCTGTCAGTTTCAGTTAAGGCAGTGAAATCAATCAGCGCAACTGAGCCCCAATACTTCTGTCCGCAGCTTTTAATGATGCAAAAGATACGGTCGAGCTGCAATGACGATGCAACTTGCAGAAAAATAGCCACCTTTTTTTTTAATTCTCTTGCCATTGCTGGCCGTGTCTTTCCTTTTCATCTACTCTATAAACAGACTCAATACAAACATAGCAAAGATTTTTTTTTTTTTTTTTTTTTTTTCTTCAAAGATAAAAATGAAACGCAACAGGTATTAACCACCAAATACCAGTAGTGTCTGGCTTAATTGTGCCTGCTGATTTTGCACAATAAATAACCTAAAGCCCTCCTCACAAAGTAGTGGAAACTTGTCTATACATAAAGGCAGCCCATTGGACCAATGAGGATCAACATCTTTTAAACTGTTCAGTTGCACCACTGCAGCTGCTCGGATGTACGCAAACAAGGAAGGAAGTGGTTATCAAACGTTTCAGTTTCAACTGTAAATGACATTAGAATGTGGAAGATAGCCAATCCATGTCAGTTATCAGAAATCTGTAACATCATCAACATCATTATTATGGCTTCAGGGTGGAGGAAAAAAAAAAGAATCTGTCCATTGGGAAAAGAGAAACACAGTGTACAACCTCTCCCCCAGTGGGCCACTCTTCACTCCTCTGGCTTCCTGTAGTAACACCAGGCTTTTTTTAGTTAATGCAGGCCAATGCTTCGCCATCAGCTTTACAGCCCTGGTTTTCTCTAATATACACGGAGGGTAAGCCTGTGTAGCGCTCACAGTGAATGAAAAACAGAAGAGAATTATGGTTTTGGGCTTTGTGGTCCAGCTTTACAGCAGGGAAAGGCCGCCTGTGAGCAGTTGTCACAAGGACACAGAGTTACATAAGGGAGAAAACTGACAGATCTTTGGCACTGTACTATATCATCTTCAGATGAAAGGGGCTCAACTCAGGGCTTCACACTCCAGTGACAAACACAGCCCCCTTTATTGTTACAAGATACCCACCAGTAATCCTGTGGCGATAGAGGCCTTCTGTTCAGCTCAGGCCTCATGATGTCCCACGGCCAGCGAGACAAAGCACAACAAGAAGGGAGGCGAGCCAAATTTGAAAAGCCATGTGACACGTCAAGTGAGAGAAAAGAGCGACAAAGCGTGAATTGAGCTTTAGTTGTGGAAAGTGTTTTTCCTAAAAGTTTATTTCTAACGAGAGGCTGCTCTTCCATGTCAGTTCCCTCAGTGTTGAAAAGGGAGAGCCGGGTTGACAGACAGTGGAGGGTAAGGCTCTCTGACAGATGGAGTTGGGCTCTTCCAAATAGGAGCAGCGACTCTTTCCTTGCAGACCTACAAAGTCAGCGTCCTCCGTCTTCTTCACAGTCCCATTCCCACAGTACCCGACAACAGTGTCTTATTTCTGTTCAGTTGCAAATCCACACTGTTAAAGCACTTGCTAGTTTCACTTATTCCCCTTCCAGAGCTCTGTCCTTTTTTATTGGTTTAGAAGACTTCGGAGACTCATACGCGGATCTCATCGTCTTCATCTTCCAAGAAGGAGGAGAAGTTGCTCTCCTCCTCTGGCGGAGCACTGAAAGTGGCGCTGTCTGTATCTCCTGCATAGGTCGGGCTGTTTGGCTTCTCGTCCAGGGCAGCAGAGCCAGAGCTGGACATGGAGCAGCTGTCTAGATGCTGCAAATGTTTGGGCCGAGTCTCGGGAGTGTACTCTGGGGTGTAGGGACTTCCATTCTCAGGCCCCAGATCTACAGAGCTGTCTAGATGCATAGAGGCCTGCTGCTGCAGTTCTGCAGAGCCTTCCTCTTCCTCCTCCTCCTCCTCCTCTGCATCCTCATCTTTGTTTCTCTCGACACTATCCTCTTCCTCGCCGTGGGTGCTGAGAGGTGGTGAGGCACGGCCCTCGCTGCTCTTGCCCTCCTCGTAGCCGAGATCGTCATCCTCCTTTTCCATCACCCCCAGGATGTCACCCAGCATGGAGGGTCCCAGGTCGACATGGAAAGACATTACCGACTCAGCGTGCTTCATTCCACCGCCGTAGTGGTGGTGGGAGCTCTCTGGAAGCTCTGTTAGCTCACCAAAGCTCTGCTCTTCCAGCTCCAGGTAGTGAGCGGCTGCAGTTGCGCCTCTCCCATCCACCTCCCCGGGCTGCTTTAAAGGACTCGAGGACAAACTCTTGGCCAGAAGACAGTCCCCTCTGTCCTCACCATTGAGGAAGGGAAGTGACATGGCATTCTTCACATAGGTGGGGGACCCACCAGGAGTCACCAGGGTGTTGTCTCTCTGCTGGTCTACTCTGGTCACTGACTGGGAGCGCTTGCTGCTCCTGAAGGTGCGAGACAGGAGGCCGGGCCGAGGAGAGCGGGGGAAGAAATTGGTTTCAGGGGGAGGTTCCCCCGAGCGCGTGCTGAGGAAGGAGGTGTCACCGAACGCATCACCACTGCGGCCTACATGCATGGTGTGGCGGAAGTCGCCCAGCGGAGCGCTGATCATCTCCCTGGTCAGGTCCATGCGTGAGCGGCGCTTGCTCTGGGAGGAGCTAGACACTAGCTGTTTCAGGATCGGCATGGCGGCGGTTTGGTTTTGCACAAAGAACTTTCCAAATCTTGAATATAATCCTTCTTAAGGACCTTGGAATGATTCGAGGGGCCTCAATCACAGTCAGCCTGGGAACCTGAGAAATGAAAATTGAATAAAATGAGATACGCAGAATTTAAATAAAAGATGCAAATCTTTAAATCATCTGTCAAAATGTGATGTACAATAAAAAAAAAAAAACACATTTACTGATGTCAAAAAGAAACAACAAAAGTCAAGTAAGTGTAGACATATCAATTTACTGCACAACACCACATCACACTGTGCAGAATATTCACATTTGGCTTTTTAATTCCATCATGAAAACAAAAACAAAAACAAAAAAAATTCTAATGATCCACTAATTACAAGAGTTCTCTATGAGATGCACTGGGAAAAAAACAACACGGGGAACACCACAGGATTCTGCTTTAACTGCGTTATAATTAAGAGCCAAACACCAGCCACAGACCAACATGAACTGGAGAAGGACAGCTGAGGGCTGCCAGGGGTTTTCTGGTGTGAAGCTCAACTTTGACTGCACGGCATTCGGTATATGACCAAAAGCTTATCTTCTAGTCACAGACAAAGTCAATTATAGAACAGCAATAATATCGAGTTTGCTATTCAACAGTCACCTAAGAATTTTTTTGACAAATGTACGTGAAAATATGATCAGAGAAAGAAACAAGTCCCGGGCCATCTCCTTCTTAGACACCGTGTTTAAGCCCCTAGAGGTTTGTGACTGACAGTTGAGAGAAATGTGTTTCTGCATTATTGAAACATGCAGCCCAAACAGCGGAAACCTCACCACAGATTGACAGCTAGTCTGCTTCCACAGGTGCTGCACTGGGGGAAGGGAGCAGGGTGTCTCATTAGTGATACATGATGCCAGCATATAAAACACACATTAAAACGAACACCGTCACGGTGGTCTGCAAAAATGAAATGCAAGCAGTTTCTGCAGACAGACGTCACCTCTGACTTATGGTCACACGTAAGCAGGTCTGCAGAAAGCACTAAGCTTGCCGTCTGCATTGTGCACCTCTCTGGTTTGCACTTAGTGCCTCTTTGTTTGTTTGCCCATGCCAACACGGGAAGATCATTAAAAAGTCAGCGGCATAACCTTGATTTTGGATTTATTACCGGCATGGTTTCAAAATAAATAAGTTGCTTTTGGTGAAAGTGCCGTTAGAATTTAGGCCGTCTAATGCTTCTTACTTTATTTTTTTTAGCACATTGACCTCGTTCTTCTGTCTCCACCCCCTCCAGCTGAGCCTCTTCTCTTCTTCCTGTTAATGCCCTCACCTGCTTTTGTTTCCATAGAAACACCCTCCTGCAAGCAAGCAAAAAGCATTTCCTGTCAGGCTCACACAAAGCATCAACACATGGCCTCCTTCTGTGTCAACCTAGAGCTGATACAATACGCCCTTTTAATGTAACGTCGGCTATGTTCTCAATCATTCACTCCGTCCGTGTGGTGTATATTTTAATGGTAAAAAATGGGGATGTATAAAAATATACAAGCGTTCCGGTGCTGCAGGCGAGGAAATAGAGGTATCTACAGTATATCGAGAGGAACACGAATGCAGAATTTTTTGACTGAGGCTTGAACACGATGTGAAAACTTTCCACGAACTTTTGTGCCAAAACACACAAACAAGGACTGTCTTTTTTTTTTTCTCTCACAGAAACATGTTTATTATTGAAGCTGCATGTTTTGATTTGTTTTTTGGGGAAATAATGAGGGAAATAATTCACACCCAGCCAAATAACAAAGTTTTTTTTCCTGACTAGTTGCTTCTGGGTGGCATAATCAGGCGAAGAAAAACAACCAGCGGATGAAGGGGAGATGGTGAAAGCCCGCCTCCCACTCCTACATCTCACCCCCCCTTAGGCCGGGATAAAGCTGAGCAGCTCAACAGTGCCCATGTTCCTGCAATGGGCACTGTTGAGACGACCACCAGGCAGATTGTTCATCGGCTTGAATCTAAACCCGATCCAGCACATGCCTTTAGCACTTAAACCTGACTCACAGCCCCGCTATATTTACAGCTCTGTGTATGTTTGAGTAAGTGTGTACGCGTGAATTTAAAGAAAATGGAAAAGGGCCTGAGAAGGCAGCAGTTAGCGTGGGAACTACAGGGTCACAGCGGGGGGGGGGGGGGGGGCTTTTTAAAAAGACTTTCACAACACTCGAGGTCTGGCTGCAGCAGAGAGCCAATGGGAAACACAGAATGTGGGACAGAAACCGACAAGACGAGCAAACGAGGCGCATCTGTATCTTTTCATTTTGACAGCGAAATCGGAAACCTTCCACACACACCCACACACACACACACCCACACACACCGTTGAATGACATTTGGTTTTGAAGATGACCGACCGGCCTCGGTGTGGATGTGGTATTTCTCAACTGCCGAGTAAAAACGCAGCAGTGAATGCATACACAGATAAAAATTGTGATAAACTTGACCACACTGGGAACGTTTCCATTGCTGCTTCACATCTGTTTGGGCAAATGATATTCCAACCCATTTCCCCCCAAATGGATTTATGTCATGGGAAATGTAATGTTCGCTCTGTTTATAGATCACATAACTCAATTATCAATATAAATACCTAGCCTGGGTCTAAGGGGGGTTCGAAAGCTGCTTAAATATCATACGGTTAGAGCCACTACTTTGTGGGAAGAAAATACACACCCACTGCTTCTGAGGGAAGAGCACAGAAATAACTTAGGAATGTGTTCTTTTAACTGAAAAGGGGGGATAAAAGAGGAGTCTGGAACCTGAGTATATTCACCCAGGAGAACTCTGGATCTTAACGGAAATGCTATACAGCCATTTCTAAGCACTGTAAAGAGATGCTACATCACAGGAAGTGAAGAAAGAGCTTATGCTATGACTCAAAAAAAAAAAAAAAAAAAGAAATCACCCACATCATCAACATGCAGCAATTGAGGTTGTACAGCTCAGCTAACACGAAGAAAAAAAACAACAGAAATCTGAACTTATATGTGCGACACAAGACGTAACCTGAAAAATGTGTGTCAGATGCGAGTGTTCCCTTCTCGTCAGTTCTCTCACACTAGGCCAGTCCACACTTGATACACAAGAGATCACTCACAGACACACATTCAAATGTGACTAATGGACCATTTCCCTAATTAGGTATTCTTGTATGATGTCTTGTCTGATCTTATTTGTGCATTATCAGTCCAGTGTGTACGTTACTGTCTGGGAGAGCATGGCTGCTGCAGTAGTGGAGGCTTTTCTGTCTCGCGCATTTGAAGTCATTGACCTGGACGGACAACCACATGACCTCGGGGTGAGATGACATTGGGGGTTGGGAGGCCACATGCAACCAAACGTGTGAAAAAGTTGCTGGTTTTCTCAAAACGCTGTAGAATCACTGACGATAAAACCCATTTGCGCACATTTGTTGGTGAAAAAAAAAAACAAACTCATTCATGGCCAGATGTTTAAAAGGGCAACACAAGCAAGAGGTGTTAGGAATAGGGCTAGCACACACACACGTTCCAGTAATTAAGCAGACAAATGGCCTCTCGAAGATAGGTATCTCAGTTAGTGCGGCTGAACGTCTCATCTAGGAAGGAGCAGCCCAAGGACAAACAGTGGCGATCACATTATCTCTCAATCATACAGACAGGGAACAACAGATACGAGCGGATGCTGCCCTCTGAGCAACGGGTGAAAACACACTGCTCCAATAAAAACTTGCAAATAAAGCCCGCCTACTTACGCAAGAGCCAGATTCAGCAGTAAATGGTCCATTTTATTGCACTCAGGCTAAGCGGCATGCCGTTTGCTTGTGGTGTTTTGATTCAGATCGAGTTGTTGACCTACAGGGTATCTCGAGTGCCCTCCTGCCATACCGCCCCATTTCCCATGCCACTCACCACACTGCACTTCCAATACCGCAAGAAAGCCAAGGGCTCATTTGGATGGACTTGTAAATCCTCTGTGGTGTAAAGAGCAAGGCACATCCAAAAATCTGTTGGTGTGAAATGCTAAAAAAAGGATGGGGATGCCGTAACAGACCATGTTCACACCCACGTTGGCCTGCGTGTTTGCTTTGTGAAGCTGGAACAACTGACAGACAATTTTTTTGATTGTTGATTAATCCTGGTTTATCACACAAAAATGACAAACGTGAGTTTGTCTGATGTGCAAATGTTTGTGTTGATTGGACAAAACAAGACAGTTGGAGGCATGTCTCTTGGCTTTGGAATAATGTGTTTGACGTTTTTCATTAATTGAGAGAAAATCACAGACAGATGGTCAATAATGAATATAATTATAAGTTGCAGCCCTACATTGAAATTTTATTAAATCAGGAAAGCCAAAATGAGAAAACACCTCCAACTAAAAACACCTCGATACTAATACAGTTCCTCCAAAAAACAACAACAAGAATAACGCCTCTGAGGACAGGAAGGAGAAGATAAAAAACAGCCTGCCTGTGTGTATTTCTCAAGCACAGACAGCAAAAAAAAAAACAACTCACATATCTGTGTTTTTTGCCATCCCCACTCATACCTGGCAAGCTGGTGTGAGGCGGTCTGTTATGCTAATGTCACACCTCACCCAGCAGGACATTCTGCTCGGTAAGGATCAAAGCACAACAGATTTTTAGAGCTTCCCTGCTAGGGGGGGAAAAAAAAAAAAAAAAAAAAAAAAAAAGTGCCTGCAGAGTTTTTGAATTGGCATTCATATCATTGAGTACTAAATCTGTAGCTATCCTCTGATGAGCGAGTGGAATATTTGAGGGAAGAAGATTGAGCTGGAAGAACAAACTTACACAAACTCAGCAATGTTTAAAAATAACATTCAGTTTACTGGTACATGATTATACAACAGACTGTTCATCTTTAGTGTGTAGCTGCATTATCAACAGGGCAACTATAAAAGTCTATATTATACCCTTTTCCCATCAAATATAGCGTGTAGATGTGGCTTTTTAAAAACAGAAAATCACGCTATAATTAAGCGATAGACTGATTTCCCGAGTATGTCATGCCATAGGACGGGACTTTCTGGTTCCCTGGCGTGTCAAGTTTCACTTCACGGACATGACGCCCGGCACCTGAAGCAGTTAATTACTAAACAGTGAATACTAACGGAGACAATTTTCAGTTTTATTTTGTTTCTGTCGAGATAGAAGGTGTTTGGATGGTCAGCGAGGTAAAATGACTGTGTTGTCTGACTGGAGTTTGGTGGCTTTGAGGAGAGCATATCAATTGAATGTTTTGTATGATGATATATTATAATAACTGTCCAAATCCCTGTTGCTTTTATTCATTAAAATATCCACTTCAACGAGCGTCTCATGGCATCACACCGCAAGAGGGGCAAGAATTAACAAGTTCCCGCGGGTGTCATGTTTCCATCACTGCCAACCCGGAGCCGATAAATACCTGTGACTATACTGCAGAGTAATTCGGCCCAGGAATGAAGGCCAATAGTCACCATTCCCACTGAAGGCAAAAGCCAGATGTTCGTGGATGTTTTGAGTTTTTTGTCCAAGCGGAAAAGCAGTTTTAGTTACACGAGCCGGTCAGATGAACTAGAGAGGAGGAGGAAAAGTGATACACAGGTGATAACCAGAACAGAGCAGAGTATACGTTCAAAAGAACCCCGACAACCAACGACAGGGTTCATGGCAGAGAATAGGCCTGCAGCGAGTCACCTCGACATGTACCGGCTGACCTTTGATACACGAGCGGAGATGACTCGTCTCTTTTTACGTTTACAGCCGACACAGCCTCCAGACAAGACACTCCATCTCCTTCTCCCCGTCCTCCGCTTTGGTGAAACTGACAGCTTTTATAAAACAGACACAAACAGCGGATAGCAGACATAGAATGCCGTACTCCACTTCAACGCATTCAAGAATCAAAAAGTGTTCTGTTACACATCATTGTCACAGATCTGCAATGCCTTTCCGTACACAAACAATATCGTCTATTCCAGCTCTGTACCGCGGTCTCTGAATGGAATAAGAGTTACAAACATGCGACTGAATTGGCAGCCAGCATTCCTCAACGTCATCTGTGTACTGGGCATGGCATCCAAACACAAATGGACCGACATTGGCACCACTCCGGCATTTTGAGTATCTCACCATAATGAGAGAATGAGCAGAAAAGAGGTTGACATTGGCGTTATCAACACAAGACCATGCCAGAAATAACCACTTAACATCACGTTGAATGTATTTGGTAATGGTACATTCCTAAAGACATTCCCAGCTTTTTCATTCTCGTCCAGCTGGACCGGCAAGGTCAACGACCAGCTCCAGGTCATTAATAACTGCTCCCGTCTCCACAAAAAGACGCCCGTGACCTCTTTGACTGCGCATGAATCTTACAAATTACCACTGAGCTAAGTGACCGACACAAGTAACCTCAAAACGGCAACTAAAAGCACGGATCAAACAGGCACAACTATGATGGAAGTGTTTCACGGAGAATTTTTGTTAGCGGGGTACGTCCACAGGAAGGGCAGGGAGAAAATGAGGCGGTAAACCCTCCCATCTCTCCGGAAATCTACTCAGTCTGCCCTTCCTGAACACTCGTAATACAAACAAAAGGCCTCCATGTCTTCCATCATACTGTATTACTGATGGGCTAACCAAACAAACACAGCTCGTATCTCCATCAAACAATAGTTTTAATAACCTACAGAGCTGTGGGCCCGTGCTGGCACTGCCATGTATCAGTACATGGAGCGCCACTGGTTCAACAACATTCATTTTAGTGGCTGAACAGAACCAGATCTTCACCACAGCGGATAGCTGAGTCACAGCTGATGACAGAGCTCTGGCCTCAGGCCCAAGTGTCCCGATCGTCACCCAGGGCAGACTGTCGCAGACCGCCAGGTGTCTCTCTCTCAAGAGCTGCAGAGGGGTGAGGTTGCATTTTGAAAAACTCGAGAGGAAACCTGCGCTAGTCAATGGAAAGAATGCAGGGAAATCATTGCTTTAAAGTGTCAGTGTCCCATAAATTACAAGGGGTCAGAGCAACAAGACATTGCACAAGCTGAGGGAAGCCAAAGAAGTCGTTATTTAACAGTGAAGGGGCTGTTTTTGTCAAAGACTGTATACTTTAGAAAATACAAGACACTACTCTACTTGTGCATGACAGCAGTGTCAATTTGAAGTGGATAATAAGTGTACCGTGCACGGATTCTCTCCCAAAATCGAACATCCAATTTTTGGATTAATACAAACCAAGTACCCAAAAAAGGATTCAGGCAGAATTGTTAATTTATTGTCAACAAATACCAGTCTTCTTGTCAGCCATCAAACATTTTGTACAGGGGCATTGTCTTCTGCTACGCTGATATCAACACCACTCAATATTACGACAAGGAAACCGGATGACAAAAAAAAAAAATCTACATTTCCTCCAGCTCACAGTACGAACACCAGCCTACCAGCACACAGTGCAAGGCATGCTGGATCAGACCAGGAAACAATGCCACCAAACAAAAGACACAGGAACAAACACAGCATTCACACAGTGAAATATGAGATGCCCTTAGAATTTGATGTTGGGACAACAAGGTTATAAAAAAAAAAAAAAAAAAGGTAGGGGGAAACGTACTAAAGAACTGTTGCTTTATGTTACAAGTCAAGCTAGCAAACCATAAATTGTGTACTGAGAGAATGAACACTTTCAAATACTAGTAAATGTCCCACTGAGACAGTATTTATAACATTTTCAGGCCTGTGGCCGTAAGAGAAGTGACAACAACCCAACATGTTACTTATGCTACACATCCTTCAAAAGTAGTCACGTCCTCTCTAATAACGCAGCAGTTAACAGCACCATCCAGAGGCATTCCAGGAACAAAAAATAACAGTTTATATTGGTATTTCCTGGAATGTGAAGGGGCTGAACAGGACACACACACATTGCCACAAATGAGCCCACAAACAGCAGACATGTTCAAACATGGGTGAAGGACCATACACTCACTATAGCCACAAACAACACTCTAAAGGTGCACTTCAGCACCACCGCAGAAGGATCTTGAGTTGCTGATCTGAGTACTTTCTGAGCAGGTTGCATTTCCTGGGCTGTGTGCCAAGCAAACGGCGTCTACGCTGTGTCCAATAACAGAGTGGTTGGCACAGTGTCCAACACCACACGGAGGAAGGATAACTTTCACCTTCAGGCACTTAAACACATGTCCCCTGCAGGCAATTAGGTGCTTTGTAATTTCAGAAACGGAGGAAAGTAGAGGGAGCAGAACCTGTGCAGGCTGGTCGAGTGTGTCGCATGTCTTGAAAAGCATTTCAGAGGCACTTCTGGGGGGGGGGTAAACAGGCTCAGCCTGTGGCACATAAATCTTGGCGATGACGAGGATTGTGTGTTTGCTGTGTCATCGACCCAAATCCATCACAGCGTCTGGGCAGAACAAGTTGACATCTCACAAAGCCCTCTGCGTGTTGTGGATGAGTCGGGTCAAATGTCACTTTTAAACCTCTGAAAACAAAGAAAGCCAGACGGTTTGCCTCACAAGCAGAGATATCTGATACCATTATCTCCTCAAACAATTGCCGAGGAGTTCTTATCAGTATGGCCTACTGACCCCGAGGCCTTATCACTTTATTGTGCCAGTCAATGAGCTCATCAGATGCCATCGAGACTGAACTGAAACTGGGGCTGAAACTCAGCAGCTCTGCCAAGTAGACAGACAGGCTCAAGGATACAAGGCAACAAACTGGACAAACAGGACAGGCGTGCACTGTAAGACGGGGCACAAAGTGTGTAATGCATGATCTTTTGGTTTCAACACATTATTGGCCTCATTTTGATCATTTTGAAGCTGAACACATGTCCTCATGTGACGCCTGTGAGAGTTTTCGTTTGGTGATGAGTACAAATGAGGAATCATTTTTTTGCTACAAAGCACCCCACGCGTATGAAGGTTTTAATTATTGCCGAGTATAGCTGCAGAAATATCAGCTCAATTCTCGCGACACCACAAATAAACGTTTCAGCGACTGAACCACGTCCCCTTATACAAGTGTCCATTTGACAGCTCTCTTGCGTTTATCGGTGCGGTCACTCGCTCACATGAAGACACGGCTGTGAGTCTGGGTGGGTCACTGGCAGGAGAACAATAAGTAGCTGACCACAAACGCGTCAGCTGCCTTGTGCGCCCGCGCGCTCTACCGAACCGCTAAATGAAGCGGATCTGTTAAATACACACGTGAGCTGTATAAACAAATACAGAAAGGTGCATTTTGTGTGGTGAAGCTTAAGTGCAAGTACAGACATTGAAGCGCACGCACTTACCGAGCATCCCCATTCATAAAGCCGGGTGCTGCTTCACTTTTAGGCCCCCAGCAGGTTGACAATGGGGACAGCATGCATCAAACCAACGGAGACGTGAAGCGATGAGATCAAACTCTCAAGAAATCCAAACGGCTAGACAGACAGACTCTCTCTTTTTTTTTTTTTTTTTTTTTTAACAGAAATGTTACTTATGCTGTCACCGCATCCACAGAAGCGGTGCTGCTGCTCGTGAGTGCAATAACTCAATACAATGCCTCCTGCTGCCTGGGTAGTGCGTTTGAACACGCCCTCTTTACATGGCTGCTTAAAGACACAGGCTGCCAGCATGGGGGCCCTCCGACAGGCTCAGCTTCATTTCCCTCAATTAAATGCGGGGTCTGCGTCATGACCACTAATGACACATTATTAAGTCTCTCCGTAATGTTTCAGTGGGCTAAGAGATAATAAACCCATCTTCTCCACCAGTCAAAAACACATTCTGTATTTAAGGATGTATTTATATTGCAAATATCAGTGTCATACTTTCAACCAAAGTATTGTGTTTTCACTCCTTGACTTTCTCTTAAACTGTGTCACTGAGAGGGGGAAAACGCATCGTCATCCTCTGTGAGAACACCTGACACAAAGGAAGTAAGCGAGTGCCCTACATGACATTTTTGAGGAGTTGCATGCAGTGCAAGTTAAAGACACCTTATACATTTTACATGCTTTTATGAATGGAACGAGCTAACAAGGCAAATAGGTAAGACCCAGAAAAGTATGCAAAATCTGGGTCAATTAGAATAAGGCAAATCAGTCATATACAGAATTAAAGGAAAAGCATGTGGTTTCAAATATTTTAATCAAATTATTTACACGTTGAGGAGAGCGGTTCAAAGTCTTTCATGGATCTTTCACGTTCTTCAATCACCGAAGGCCTTTTTGAATGACTGACCCATTTGTTTGACCATGTGTATTCCAGGCTGTGTCGTCTGGCCTCTGTCTGACCGCTCATTAGGGCCCTTTGCGATGGAAATGAGCGCGAAGCAGCTAAAATACACCCCAAGGGCTGTGCACGCTCACCCTGAGCTCAGGAGAAAGGAATGTGTGAATGGTTGATAATTATCACAAGTCACGTCCTTCCACTACCTGGACAGAAAGATGATTCTCTTTTGTCTTTTACAGACGTTAGTGTTAGCCTACCTATCTGTAATCTAATGAGATGCATGCAGAGTGTCCATCACACACATTCAAAAGCTATTTCCTGCCTTTGGCTGTGTTCCCAGTCTGTCCCACTAGCTAATGGGAGAACAGGATTCTTCATGATGAGAATTTGACTCTAGAGTGACCTTTTGTCCAGGAACAAGCTGCATTCAAATTTGCTTTTTTTTTTTTACATACGCACGCCCCAAAAGTATCAAATTGAACCACTATCCTCTATAATGACTGACACACAACTGACAACATAACTTCATTTAAGATTAATATTAAATGAGTGTGTTAACAGGATGTTTCCCCACAATATCTCTCTCTCTCTCTCTCTCTCTCTCTCTCTCTCTCTCTCTCTCTCT